GTGACTTACAAGTATAAAGGAACATTTTCTGCCCCTGTGCTTTTAGCAGGTTGAGGAGAAACACCAACTGGTGTTAGAGATGAGTTACCGACAGCAGCAGCGGATGGTACAGATTATTATAAGCACATCAGTGGAAGGTATTATAAGATGGCAATAAGCCATGGTTATAATCAACCTGGGTTTGATGTATTGAACTCTATAGCAACCCATATAAATTGATTACCCATTTATTAAAATGGCTGTTAATCATGGATTATCTCCTTGGACAGCTTTAGGAAACTTACCTTGGTTACAAGCAGGCTGAAAGATGGAGAAATCCAATGAGAACTTCAGGGCTCCTTTTCAGGCTGTATCTTCATAGATTTCCCTCTTCCTACCCTCCTTTGGCTCACATCCTACATTACCAGCTCTGCCCATGAGGTCCCAGCAGCTGATGGACCCAAAGCTACATCCCCAGTTAGCCTGGGACACCTGAGGTGTATGGTAGCTTGGGTGTTGTGGTCGTTAAACCAGCTCCAGAGCTGCTCATGTTTCAGAAGCCAAGAACAGAGGGTCCCCTTTTTATTATTCATATATATATTATTTTAAAGGTCAGTTTGATGGCGTTCTAATGGACTTGGGGATACTCTGCTCTCTGCCTCGCCTCTCTCCTATCTGCCAGCCACACACTCTGGTGTCATCGTTTCCACACACAGTATATCTCCATGTGCTAGCCTGTAGTGATCTCCTTCCCTTCCCCGCATCCCCCATGAATATATAACTAAATGCAATAGGAAGAAATTACTATTGTAATAAAACTGGTTCATTACATCCTTCTAGTCAGAGGCGTTTAATGAGCACCAGGGCTGCCTAATGCTGTTCTCTTCCCTTTGAGCCAGCTGCAAATGCACTATGTTTCATCATGTCGTTTAATTTACTCTTTGGAGCCATGGAAGGAAGCAGCCAGGTCCTTCATGCAGTGAGCACCAGTGGAACGAGCCAGTAAGAAATACCTTGACCTGCTGAATCTGAAGGGCTGGGTTGGTCTGCAATATAGACAGCTACCGGGATGCTCTGGCTCAACAGGGATCTGCAGCATCCTGAAGTCGTAGGAGCATAGAATCGGAGCCTGGTTTGGGTTGGAAGGGACTTTAAACCTCATCCAGCTCCAACCCCTGCCACAGGCAGGGATACCTTCCACTGGAGCAGCTTGCTCCAAGCCCCTGTGTCCAACCTGGCCTTGTACACTGCCAGGGATGGGGCAGCCACAGCTCCTGTCCCTACAGGCCCTTGTCCAAAGCCCCTCTCCAGGTTTCCTGTAGCCCCTTTAGGTATTGGAAGGTCTCTCCTGGACTTGCTCCGACAGGTCCATGTTCTTCTTGTGTTGGTGCCCCAGAGCTGGAGACAAGAAAGGATGGGGGGTCTCATCAGAGAGGTGTTTAAGTTGGGCCATAGAAAGGGACGATGTAGATGGACCTAAATCAGCAGTGGGAATTGCCCATTTGACTTAAGGACACCATAAAAGCTGGACCAAAGACCAAATCCCTTCATTTGCTGTGCCTTAACTAAAATCTTTCCCAATTCCAGAGGCTTTCACATTGAGTTCTTCAGGAGGGCACGGGAGATGCTGTAGACAGCGATTTGCAATTTGCTTACAAAAAGCCTCTCCCCAGCCTAGGCCTTAGGGATGGAAATTCCTCACTGAATTCAGATCAGGATGGATTCAACTGCTTTGGCAAATGAAAATCCTGGACAAGCTCCAAAAATTACATTTATTTTGTATTTTCCAAGTGAATTTTTCACATTTCATTTCACAATGGCATCTGTCAGTGAGAATCCGAGCTTCTTGAGGAAAACAAAGAAAACAGCATTTCAAAGCTGATTATTAACCCAAATAGGAGCAAAACTCTGGAGGGGCAAAGAACTACACATTGGATCGATGTCAAAATGTGGGACTTCCTCTCCCTTGGTTTGTTACTATCATTGATTCAAAGCAACTTAACTACTGAGCACCTTGGGCCTGTCCTAGCCCCTCCAAGACCCCAGTAGGCTGAAATGCACTCCCAGTTTCATCTTGGAAAGTGATGCTATCGCATCCACAGCATCCTGTGCCTTGCTCTGAGTAGTACCTCTGGCAGGTCCTACAAGACAGCCGCCACTTCTGCTCCCATTCTCATGCTGACTGTTAGGGTGGTGTGGGACAACCAATATTGCCTAGCTATAGGTAATTCAGGATGATTCCAGGGTCTTGTGCACCTGGAGAAGCTTTTTCTTCCAGAAGCCACTTGCAGTGATGGGTATTGAGCCCATCTCACATCACAGCTCCAAGCCCCAGGCCTGGGCTGGGTTGGTTTAAAAGCTCCATAGAGGATGAACCCAACCATCTGCCCTGATTCCCTGCAGCACAGTTTAGCAGAGCAGGGTTTTCCTTAGGAGGATGTTATCCCTCAGGATTTCCTGTTGTGTTCCCCCAGCTGGTTTATGGCAAAATAGACCCTTGAGATACAGTCCTTTTGTCCGGGAAAGCTTTAATGATCTCGGAGTCACTGTGTTGGCATCAGTTGAATTCCAGCTGCTATAAGCTGGCAAGCTGATGACAAGAGCTGTGTTTATGGGATCTCTGGCTATTTTGCTAGGGTGAGCAGTGCTATGCTACCACAGACTTACAGGGCCATTAATTAAAGGCGCTCTGAAGGGGTATCATGGATCATCTTGGAGCCATGAGAGAGGTGAGACGTGGGAAAATTAACCCTGCCCTGCACTGGGGTTTATTTCCTTGGCAATGCCGTTGTTTCCAGGCTGGGATCAGGAGCATCTCCCTATGAAACCCCTCCTGGCACTGGATTTATGGCAGCGTTTTCACCTCTGAGCCCTGGTGGCTTTGCCTGGCAGATGAGCTGCGAGTGCAGCATCGTTTCCCACACCCCAGCTGCTTTGTGGGCTTGGGGCAGCTCTATAACCCAGTTGTCTCAAGCGATGCCTGGAGCTTTAATTGGGGCTGGATGAGAGCATGGGGATGCTGGAAGCGATTGCATGCAGCTGGCTGCTGCCTTGCTCACCACTTAGCTGGGAGCATGTACATGAAAGAGGGTAAACAAAACACATCTGGGGCAGTTCTGACCAGTTGGCCCCAGTGAGCCACACGTGCCAAGCTGTGGCTGCTGCCAGGCTCCTCAGAAGGCTTGTCCACACAGGCACTTCAATCTGAATCAAGCAAAAGCTTGAGTCTCCAGTGGGTTTGCTAAGCTGCATTTAGCTGTAAGAGAAGGAGTAAGGCCATTACCTCTGGGCAGTGGTGATGCCCAGGGTTTGGGTCTGCACTGTTGAGGTCTTTCCCCACCTCAGCACCCGCAGCCTGATCCCACACTGCTGAAAGCACCGCAGCTCTATCCCAGTCTCTGCTAAGAGCAGTGCAGAGGGTTTGCCATGAGAACTCCCTTCCCTAGTCCTAATCTTTGTCACTTTAAGTCCAGCAGAGAACCAGATCTGACAGCTGGTTTGGTTTACCCCAGCCCAGAAATCTCCATGGGAGATACTCAGGGCTTTTAAGCCCTGTTTATGCCCCAAAGTGAAAGCAGCATTAACTCCCTGAGTGCAGAAAACAGCTCTGCTGACATAAATGCTCTTATGTGGGGAAGAGGAACACGCTGTGTGACTAGAAACGACTTTATACCTTCCAACCAAATCCACGCTCGCCTTTGTGCTGCTACAACTAATAAGCAGTTAATATGCAGTCCCATCAGCACAAGGGATAACAAAGCCCTGTTTCCTTAAGATCTGCATTTCATGCTTGGTTGCAAGCTCCGATCCAATCTTTTGCTGCCATTCGAATGGGTTCTTCTAAATTCTCTCCCCTGGTGTGGAGTCTTTGATGTCTGATAAGGTAGAAGCCCACGCTCTGGCCTGTCATTCGGACAAGGAATGCTGATTGGGAGCATTTATAGAGCTTTTTCTCCTCTACCTGGCCACTGTTTGCACAGTGTGTCTAAAAACCGACTTTCATGTGACACTGCTTTCCTCCCCCATCAAATCTGCTTGAAAGTGCCAATAGGCTCAAAAATTATTAAGGTCAGAATCAACATGCAGAAACGCACATGCATTCATTACATGATCAGATGAGCTTAATTTCCTTAGGCAAGCAGGCTAAAAATACCCCACATGCCCAGAAGAGGTAATTATACCAGTATAAAAGCTCTGCAGGGTTGTGCTGGTGTCTCTCCTCCACTCTCTCCACTGGATCAAGTGGTGTCCTGACACGTCCAGCCTGCCCCTGCCCACTCCGTGCACCTCCCACAGCCAACAAGCATCACCCAGAGAGGGGGAAATGCTGAATTATTAATTGCCATTTGCATAGAGTGCAATCTTACCACACCGTGCCAAGGAAGAGCAAGGATGCGCCAAGCCCCTGGGGTGGCCTGGGGAGATGTCCCCTTAGCTCATCTCCTCACCCCCCGACCCTGAACCAAACGCTTCTCTCAGGCTGGGTTTTGAAAGCAAAGTGCTCTAATGATGATAGACAGTTCCAGATCATGGCCTGCAAAGCTGCATCCCAGAGAGCTGGCACTTCTCGGCAGGACACCACGAGCGATGGGCACAAAGCAAACCAGCACCAACTGATGGGCAGCTGGACCGTGGTTGCTCCTTTCATTCCCATGCCCTCCCTATTGCTCTTGCACCTCAGTGGGGTCAGAGACCTCTGTCCATATGAAGACAAATAGCACCAAAGTACTATTAAATTCAACTAGCCTTTCTTTTCATGCGGTAGACCTGGACTCATGTAGCTACTTAAAAATATTCATGATGATTGTGGAGGAGACCCCACAAGCATGGTCTAAAGCGTCCCCCTTCCCAAAAAGCCATACAGAAGCAAGCAATTATTAGTCCTAAAATGACTTTTGACCAGAATAAGATGTTTCACTTACAATGATGGAGTGTTGAGGCTTTCCTGTCCCTTTTGCCATGCAATCAGGGGTGAGAGCAAGTGGTAACAAGAAGAGTGACACCTTCGCTTCACACAATTCACTTCCAGACAGAAGGCTTACCTTTGCTCTGTGACCCTGATGAAGTGTTTGAAGCACACCTTCTGGTTGAATAGTCTTACTTCTTTTGCTGGAGGCCTTTGTGCTCCAGCTGAAGGATCTCTCAGGACACAGTCCTGCCTACTGAGCACAACTGACCCTTTTTTAGGTCCTACAGTGATAATTTCTCCATCAGGAGCCACATGAAACTCACAATGTGGAGTGCTATCACACAGGTGATTAGCCTGGATGTTTAATGCCTTTTCCTCTTAGGTAGTCCAGCAAAGAGTAAAAAGCCTTTCTGATGAACCACTTGCCCTTAACATCCATCTCTTGGGTACCAACACTGAAACACCTCAATTGCTGGCTGGCTGCACGAGGAAGTTAGCCCGTTGCCCAGAGGAAGCAGGTCAGGGAGGCTTTCCTTTTAGCAGGCATTCATGATCCAGATGGAGCAAATGATGAATATCAAATTAAAACTCCTAGCTATGGACAAGATTCAAATCGGGCAGCTTGATTATAACCTGTCACAGTTACAAGGTGATGGAATTCCATCAACAGGGCACAAAGGGCCCCGAACCTCCCCGAGACAAGTTCTAAAGCCTTTCATCTGAGCTGTAAACTTTGCTCATCTGCTGATGAGTTTCTGCTGAGCTCCCGTCAGCTCAAACAGGCTCATTTCCATCCTCCAGCACGGCACCAGCTGGGAATGTGGAGCTGCTGACAAGTGACCTGGTGGGTGAAGGTCAGTGTGACAGATGTGGTGGGTCAGTGCTGGACACGCTGTTTTGGATGCGGTGCATCCGTGTTAGTGATGCGATTTGGAGCTCAGATTTAGCCAACCTCTGCATTTTACTGAGCTGTGCAAGATCAGTGCCTTGGGGGGAACCTGGCCCATGGCTCTGAAAGCTCAGCATGTGCGAAAAGCTTTCTTAAGCCTCACAGAGGGCTATTTAAGGAAGATGAAGCTCAAACTCTCATCTTCTTCTAAGGAATTTCCATAAATCCTGTTGTTTCTGAATCTTTTCCTCTAAGAATGAAGGCGAGAAGGGGTCCTCTGGTTTTATTTTATGCTCGGCAAGGGATTTTTTGCAAGGCAGCTTTTCAGGTAGCTGGATGTGATCATTCAGTTTAATGCAGGAGAGGATCTTTGTGTATGTGTGTTCAGTGGGGGCAATATGTTAAGTGAAAAGATGAAAGTCGGGTCCATCTCAAGAAACCCTAAGACGAGCAAACCCCTCTACACTTCAGATCCTCTTGAGTCAAGGAGATCTTTTCATTCCAAAGTGAATTTAATCCCAGTCATTCCTATTGCCACCCCATCTTGCAGGAGTGACCTCAACAAGCTGGGACGCACTCAGAGGCCAAGAAGCTTCCTCGTGACAACCACTGGTGACATTGCAGCATCAGTCCTTCCATTTCTGATCATGCACATGCCCACTGTGGATGAAGAACGGTTCCTTTAGCACCTTTCCCAGCATCCCTTCCTGTCTCCTTTAAATGTTTGGGAGCAATAATTTATGTGCAGAATGCAAGAAGTAATTAGGTTGTCTCCTGGTTTCTGCAAGGGAGCAAACACCATAGCAAATGGCATTCCAACAAAACTGGGTCGGCTCAGATTGAAGTCTCGTCCCATTCATCTTTGAGTTGTAGCATTGAATTTCCCAAACACATTAGAAACAAGTTTTAATTTTCCACAGCATTGGGCAATATCTTTTCCTAAAGCCTAAGGAACATTCATTAGCATCCGCTCCCTCCATTTCATGTGGCTGTCTCCTTGTTTGCACATCAATGTGGAGTTTGCTGCCTGGGCAAGCTCGCCCGAACGACGTCAAAGTTCCTGTATTGGTACACAATGCACGTCTATAGACACAAATCAAACTCCCACCCACACTCACATACCTGGCCTTCACTAGCCCTGGTTTGAAATAGTGCCTGCAAGAAGAAGGGAACAGCAGAGCATGAGGAGGGACCTCTAGAAATAGGAGTGCATGGAGCAGCCCTGTCCAACCTGGCTTTGAACACTGCCAGGGATGGGGCAGCCACAGCTTCTCTGGGCACCCTGTGCCAGCGCCCCAGCACCCTCACAGGGAAGAGCTTCTGCCTAAGAGCTCAGCTCGACCTCCCCACTGACAGCCACCTCCTATGGAGACAGCTCTATGGTGGACTTCTGACACAGCGAGATGAATTTCATGCCCATACCACTACAAACTACTCCATTTTTCATAAGTGACTATTACCCTCTGTATCACTGCACCCCGAAGTGGGGGTCTGGGCCGCAATGAAGCATTCCCCATCTGTACAAGGAAGATAATAGCACTTACCTATCCCCAGGCTTGCTATGAGGATGAATACATCACAGAGAGCTAGATGCTCCGATACTATGGTAATCAGGTGCTATCTCAGCACACCAGAGAGATAAGAGCCTACAAAGTACAGATGGCATTTCAGCTACAAATCCCTGGCCCAGTAGGCAAACTGTGTAAAATGAGAGCTGCCTGCTAGGTTCATGTAACCCTCCCTTTTTGAGTCACTTTTCAGGCATTTTCTTGTGATGTTGTATCACTACAGGCAGCAACAGCCCACCATAGGGAAGGGACAGCAGCTATGACACCAAGGGTGGTTATACCCAAAAGGCTTAGTTGTTCCAACCAACGCTGACGTTTAACAATGTATTGACCCTCTCGATAGCATCCAAATGTTTCTTCCCCTGACTTCAGCAATGCTAAAATCAAAGAGGAAAATGACAGCAGTTTCTTACCTGGAGCTACCAGAGCGCCAAGTATTTCCCAGTGGATTGCAATCAACTCCACCAGCAGCAGTGTTGCCTGTGCAGGATGAAACATGGTGTCAGCATCTCTTATCCTCATTTCATTCCCATGCCTCCTGTACATGAGTAAATAGTGAAAGGAGGTCTCGCTATCAGGTGCCAAGTGCCCTGATTCTTTCCTTGTAGAAGTGAGACTGGAACACAGACAAATTATTAGAGGGTTAGATGGTGCTGCAGATTTGGAAGGAGAAGCCTGGGAAGAGATAGCAGATAGATGAGGTAGCAGATAGATGAGGTAGCAGACAGATGAGGTAGCAGATAGATGAGATAAGCAGCCACGTGCAGAGCTGATGGAATAGAGAGGGAGTGTGGTTTTCTTTTACTAGCTCACTCGTTTGAATATTGATCTGGAAGCTTTCTTGGATCCGTATCAGTGAGCTCTGATTTACGTTCCCATCCCTGCCTGCCTGTGTTCTTGTCCTAGTGGAAAATCAAAGGGCTTGTACCTACAAATACCCATTTTCCACTTGGCTGGCTAGCTGGCAAACACGAGCACCACTGCATGCCAGCTGTGTGCAGATGTCCATGGGCTTTCCCATCTGCAAAGTGCGGGATGATGCTTTCTCCTCACGTGGCACCAAGCAGAAACCACTTCTGATACCCCTAAAGGGGACGTTTTCTTCACCCACTGTCCTTTGATCTTCCTCTAGCTTGTGGTTCAGTCCAAGGAATGCTGTTTCACTTCCTTTATGTGCCGTTTCTTCAGGCCTATTTGAACTGGAGGAACTGGATTTTTTCTTATGATTTCAAAGCCGGGTTTAATGACTGTAAAAAGCAGCACAGCTGTGGCACTCCAGGAACAAGACATCCTGTCTCAGGGATTGTCAGGGAATAATAAAAGCATACATGGTAGAGACATGTTACAAGTCACCTGCACTGTAAATAAATGTGCCTGCTGCTCTCAGAACTGACTTCTCTTCATTGTACTCAGAATGATTCTCTGAATTGAAATGCTTTCATATCTGAAGGGAGAGGATGGAGAGTACAAGAAAAAATGTTCCCTGAAGATAAAAAGTGTAATAGCCTCTTTTATTCCCCACTTTCCACATCAATAATGAAGAGTTATCCTCCAGGGACAGCAAGCAACATGCTCGACTCTACCTCTTACCAATCAGCAGCACAAAGTATCCCTCGACATCGAGGCTATGATACAAAGCACTGGGCAGATCAGAGTTGGGGCAAGGAGGGGAAGCAGGAGCAAGGCTGAGCCTGCTTCCAGCCCAAGGCTATCTGAGCTCCCAACTGACAAGTGCTACCACTGAGGTCATGCCTTGAAGTCATGTCTATAAAAGCAAATGGAGGCAGAGTGGCTCTGTTAAGATAAGACAGAAAAAAAGGTAATAAAAACACAAGGAAAGAAAAGAAAATGGCACAAAAATCCCGGCAGAAGCTGTCAAACAAGGGAACGTTTCTTTTTAAGCCTAAATAAATAATATATAAGGAAGGCTCCCTGCTGCTCGCTGATACTGGAGTTGACCGGGAGCCCAAATACCTCAAGGAAATAGGTTTTGTTCACTGGGTTTCTTCATCTGATTCCTCTTTTTTATCCCTCTGTTTGTCCCTTTGACACCCTCTCGCCCTGCTCTCAGTCTGTACTTGTATTATACCCTTCTGAAAGTAAACCAGCCCTCCTCCAGCGGGGCCATTGCTCAAGTTTCCCCTAAACAACTGTTTAGGAGACAGCATCTTCAATTTGCCTTCTAGACTGGGTGCATGAAATGCCAAGGAGCAGGACCAAGAGCTGATAGGCTATGCCAAGGTCATACAGGGACTCTGCTACCACTAAGGACCAAGGTCCTTCTCTAGAGGTGAAGATCAATTCATAGGGCCATTAAGTCCACCCTGACAGCAGATGACCCCTCTTCAAGGGGGAACATCTTCAAGCCTTATTTCCTCTATTTATATAATGATTGTTTCCCAACTGATTTCTTCCTCATCAGTGTCAGCATCCAGACCAGGAAATAACAACAGCACCACTCTTGGCCTCAGCAAAGCTGGACATGCCTCTATTTTTTGCAGGAGGTGGTCTGCTTTCTGTCCTCCAATTGATATTTTCCAGCCCACTGGGTCTCAGAAGCACGGTGACACACCATTAGCAGCCTTATGCTGCTTGCTAAATGCCAGTAAATTCAGCAGCAAAAGCAGGCAATCATGCTGGGCAGCTTAATCTTTGACTGCTTAAATTAAGATCTTCTACAAGGGCTTTAATTTCAAGGAAAGAGTGATCAGCTTGTCCTGAAAATGAGATTCTTTTAAAGTGTTTCATCTGCATTACCCGCTTTTGACAAGTTTGATGTGATGGAAGTCCTGTTTGAGTACGTACTTAAGAGGGTTTGGTGTAAATTCTGGGCAGGCTTCTCAGGGAATGGATCTTCGTTACTCCACAGGCAATTACTGACAGTGACCCATCTCTTCTGCTTTCTGCAAGCAAATAAAACCTGAGCTTGATTTTATATTCCCATCCATGGGGTTTTCTCTGCAATTAAATGCTGGGTTTCTTTATGTCTGTGTCTAATGCCTCGGTGTAAAATAGATCATTCTAAAGCAGAAGTGATGGTTTCACATGTATCCCTCGCCAAGCTCGCCAAGAAGCTGTCACACTGGTCCAGCCAGTATGGCACTTGCTTGGGACCTGTTCACCATGAAAGCAATTGCATCCTATTTCATCCAGGTAAGAGGGAAAGTTGATACCTTTGTGTTCAATAAGGGAGTAACAAAGCTAATAGTAGCTATCTTGGTGAATAAGAATAACGGACACCCCACAAACAGCCTATCGGGAAACACCAGCCAAGTGGAAAATGCAAGTAACAAGCATTTTACATATTCCAATTTGTTCTTCAATTTTCCTCTGTTTAATAAGGGACAGGGAGCACTCTGTGTGTGGAATGGAAAAGAGGAATCAGGCAGCAGTGGTGCCTCTCCCAGTGCGCACCACTAACAGGTCTGTGATGGATGGAGCTCCTCCCGTGTCCCAGCAGGCACGACAGGAACTGTCACCAATCGCAAGTAAAACTGAAGTAATTAATAGCGGGGTCCCACCATTTTCCACTCTCATGCAGTTGGCTCCTGTTTAAATAATGAGAATCTTAATTTCTTGCTTGACTTGGGCTGGGCTTGATTGTACTTAGGATAATTCTAGTGCAGAACTGGAGGACCTCCTTGGGCAAAGCCTAACCACAGGGACACTGATTGGAGTGACACTGATTCCACACCTCAGGTGGAAAGCCTGGGACTGCTCCTAAGTGATCCCTGTTGCCACTGCCAGGACCCTGACTGCATCCCGGATCCATAAATCACCCCTGTCCTTTGGCTTTCTCAGTTTTTTTCTCCTGATTTAAAGAAAAGCTGCAGCAACAAGCTCAAAATGTTGGTATCATTTATTATACCTGGGGGGGTGTAGAGCCTTTTATTGCACTGTAAAAATACAGAGCAGATTTGATGCAGTTCTCTGGCACTCCAAAAGCTGCATCAAGACCAGTGTCCTGCAGAAAGCCAGCAAGAAAAGGCATGGCAGATGGAGGGAAAAAGGGAGAAAGGAATGATTCCAGAAGCCCAAGTGCTGTGCCCCTGCCATTCCCATCATGTTGCTGAGCTATTACCATGCTACAGCCCATAGTGGGGTTTGCCCAGTGTGTTTCTGTCTGCAGGGAGCCCAGCCAGGGTGCTGGGTGTCCATCCCTGAGCCCAGTGCAGGGTGATGGGGAATAAAGAGCTTTCCCCTGTGCAGAAGTGGGGAAGCTGCAATAAGTAGCAGCCTGGAGTGAAGAGGACTGCAGGAGAGCAGAGAAAGCAAGAGCATCGCCCTGCCTGCTCCAGCACCGAATCCCTCTCCCTACCCATTGTGTGGAGAACTAGAAGTCTATCACTTCAGCCTAATGGAGCATCATCAACTTACCTCAATGAGGCACTTAATCGAAAGAGCATTTATACCTCTTGGATTGCCAGCCGCAGTTTATGACAGCTCTTTGTGCAAGAGATGTCATTGTGCATTTGCTTCTTTGTTAGACTAGATTGGAGTTATCAGCGGATGAGTAAACCCTGCCATTCCCAGGAACACCCTGCATATGTTTGCAGGACAGAAAGAAGCAGAACAGGGGAATAAGACAGAGCTTGTAGAGACAGGCATGGATTGGGAGATAAGGGCAGATTCGACAAAGGTATTTTCCAGCAAGACAGTTTGGGACATATCCTTAACTGGTGCAATCCCCATGATGGGTTGCATTCGTACCACCATCTGTGTTTAAGCACAAAAGAAGCGATTCAGTAGTTACCATGTAGGACTGAACATGGTTCTTAATGCAGCAAAGAGAGGTACCTACAACCTCTGATTTTCCATATGAGTTTCTGGTTTGGGCCCTTGTTTCTTGCTTCAGGTCTTACAGCCTCCAAGAGCCTGGTTGAGACAGTGAGCAAAGGCAGTGGGGAGAGTCCACCTCGGAGCAAGACCTCCATGGGGCATCATTACCCAGCTCTCACAAAAAGCCTTTTCTCTATCAGAAGCTCCTGCTTCTCTCCCCAGCTCTTTGCAGAGTGGTGGGGGCTCCTTTCCAACAAAACCAGGTTTTCTCTTTTGCTGCAAATCCTTTCCTTCAGGTAACACTTGAAACATCCTCCACCTCTTCAGTGTCAGCAATGGGCTCTAGGGCACCCCTGGGGCAAGGTCTAAAACCAGGTGGAAAATGTGGATCCCATTTCCTTAGCATGGTGGAAAAAGGAGGGATGGATGGGGGAAGTGTGCCTGGTGGCCCAGGGAAAAGCTGATGGCAAGACAGCAGTTTCCACACTAACCCACAGGGGGGTTATTTGCCTCTGTTGAAATCCAGTGTGTAATTAACTGATCTCTGATAACATTTGCCTTGTCAGGATGGAATTCAGATCTTATCTTGACATTAGCGTTTATGGTGTTAATGCTGGGAAAGAAAGGGGGGAAGCTGTAATTGTGGCAACCCGATTTAATTTGAGGATTCTGTTATCTTGTCACCCGGGCTGAGATTTCACTAATAGATTCTGACTGCAGGAAAATTGTACGCTCAAATAGATGGGATTTTAACAGACAAGATCCCATTGATACTCATGTGAAAATACAGTAACTGCACTGAACACTTGGGAAGGTGGCTTTGCTTGGGAAAACTGCTACAGCTGGGAATGGCCAAATGATGCCACCAAGAGCTGCATCCTGACAGGGGGATGCAGGACCTGAACATAAGTCATCAAAGAAGAGAGTGATCCAGGGAGTTTTGATGGGTCAAAGGGAGCTTTTGCCCTCATGAGTCAGTGAGCACGGGACTTAAACTGCCACAGACGGGAGAGCAATGAGCTTTAAATGAAGGTCACATAAGCAGAGTTTCATCTTGGCCGAGGTCTCACCGTACATAAAAAGGACGTGGAGCTGTTGGAGTGAGGCCAGAAGAGGCCATGGGGATGCTGCGAGGGCTGGAGCAGCTCTGCTCTGGAGCCAGGCTGAGAGAGCTGGGCTGGGGCAGCCTGGAGAAGAGAAGGCTCCTGAAGGGGAAACCTTAGAGCAGCTCCAGTGCCTGAAGGGACTGCAGGAAACCTGGAGAGGGGCTTGGGACAAGGGCCTGTAGGGACAGGACAAGGGGAATGGCTTGAACCTGCCCAAGGGGAGACTGAGCTGAGCTCTTAGGCACAAGTTCTTCTGCCACCTGCATATCCAACCCCAAGCTCAGCTGGTTCCACATTGCACTCTCCACAGCACATTAGCAAAGCATGATGTGGTTCCATGGAGGGGCAAGAATGACCACTGCCAGAGTCAGCATCAGCTCCTCATTTCACCCTGGTGGTGGATGGTGGATCCTTGATGTGGATCTAGCTTGGGTTCATAGACAAAGTGATTTGCCTACAGGAGCAAATACCCACAGAATACCTGCTATACTCTTTTCCACCATGCTAGCTGATGAATGATCAATTGAATGATCAATTATTCCTGTTTATGACAAAACCATGCACTCTAGACTACAAAACCCCACTGCATCTTCATCAAGTCTATTGATTATCCTGCAGCTTGCTAACAACTCTTCTTAGGAGAACCCCTTTCCCTTCGGTCCAGCCTGACTCCAGCACAAATCCTGCAGAAACAGCTTCTTTGTGCATGTTGTACATGCACATGCAAGGCTTTGAAAGACCCCGTTTGCACTTGAAAAATATTTGCCTGGAAAATGAACTAGTGATAAAGCTGCTGGTGGTTGCTATCAGCCAGGAGCACGAAGCAGATGCCTGCTCTGTAGCACTGAAATACTGAGGGCCAATAGCATCATCCAGCCATGCTGGATTTACCCAACATCTTTATCT